TGTTCTTAGCGTTTTGCACTTGGAATCCTTTACTCCACCTTGAGGGTCTCCTGTCGGTGTCTCTGAAATTAGACCAGAACATCCCTAATGTTACTGGTGACAACTTCGTCTAAGATTCGTTTTGTACGCACCGTTCTATCCCCTGTAAAACATTTTTTAATCCAACGCTGTCGCACTTCGCTTGGAAAGGCCCATCATCCGAGTCCTATCTCCCCCACCCACTGCTTTCTGTCCTTTTCAAATTGAAGCTTAAGTATAGTTAATCAGAATTTCGGTTGCACGGCAGTGAAGCATCAGTGTCAACACTGAGTTATCTCTGCCCACTGCTTTCTGTCCTTTTCAAATTGAAGCTTAAGTATAGTTAATCAGAATTTCGGTTGCACGGCAGTGAAGCATCAGTGTCAACACTGATGTTGTTATCTCTGATGATGGTGATGTCTCTGATGATGCTAACGCGCCGTTCTTCGGTATCTTGTATCGATTCATTTTTTAAGTTGCTCTGCCGTTATTTTCACGTTCCGCTCTACCACTTAATCCTACCCGCGATGAATGATCTGGTTTTTTGTTTTGGGTGAATCATGATGTCAGTTTAGTTTGTTTGCCGCCAGGATGCCTGTTCCATTATCCGTCAACTAAGTCATTTTGTCGTTATACGCCACTCATCATCATAATCGTTTGATGGTCAACAAACACAGCAAAATTTCGTCACATCAAGAGGAACTTAGTTAACACCAATTATTAATCAGGAGTGGAATTTTCGAAACGCTCAGTGAGGTTCGGGTACATTTGCAAGCTCTACTCTCAAAAAGAAAAAAGACAGGCAGACAGTCGGTAGACGTTATCACAAGGTCGACAACAGTCGTTTTGAGGACTGCTGTAATATAGGGCTATAACTGCTAATGCGGTCACCAACCTTGAGATCACGCGAGGCCACAGTTTATGTTCGCATGTTTGTTTGACTGAGATACCTTGTCGGTGTTTGAGTAGGCGCCCGCATAATTTGAATATATTTTTGCCTAGAGTACTTCTCCGGCCGATAGCGTGGTCCAGCCATATCCCGGGTAAAGTTGTCTCTCAGTGGCTATTGTAGTCGCTTCATGATCTATTGTGCTACCGCTTTGTTTAGGTCAGAAGCAGTTGTTGAGCGGCAAAGTCTCATATTTGCGCCCTCTAGTAGCGTCTCATTCCCCACGCTTCCATCTGATCGGGTATCATTCACGAACCCAAAGACTGCGTCAAATGAACAATATCTTGAAGGACACCGTTCTTACGAGGTTGTCATGTAGTCACTTTCTTCTTGGAGGTCAGGATAACCATGTACAGTGTTGCCGCAGTGCTTGCCATCTTTGTTCGTATTTATCTTCCAGGAGAGAATCCGTCCACTATGTTGCCACTTCATGAACACCTTGTTATTTACCTTCAAAACCACGACGCGAATCAAGTAAGTATCCGCTTTATTCTACGAGGCTCTAGTAGAATTTTCATCGGGTTTGTTGTCTACGATCAACGGACCAACTCGAACACAAACTCAACTGAGCTACTATGTAATGTTTGAATTTACTCGTGTTCTTACAGTATTGTGCATTTGGAATTTAATAACCCTCCTCAGCTGGATTTAGTCCCGGTCATGTTGCCCTGCTGCCACAATAATTGGATTCTGTTTTCGTCAGATGAGGCCCATGAAGTGGTGAAAATCGAACAAATAATGGATTGGGTAATGATGAGTAGATACGACGGTGCCACCAGCTACAGGATGTCCCGATATAATCATTGTTTCCTCTTGCTATTTATGGGGTATAGTCCCAGTACTTGAAACATTTTGGGTTCCGTCATGCAAGAGGATATATCGATCACATATTCACCCTCCGACAGTTTCTGGAGCAGCGACACTGCTTCCAGCAACCAACATTGGTAGTTTTTCTTGATCTGAAAGCTGCCTTTGACTCTGTGGACCGCCAAGCACTATGGCAGTGTATGTGAGGTAAAGGTGTCCCCCATAAATTCTTGACCATCCTTAAGGCGCTCTACGCCAACTTCCGCGGCCGTGTGTGGATCTACGGAAAGCTCTCTTCTGAGTTCACTACATCAAGTGATGTCAGATAGGACTGTCCTCTTTCACCCTTCCTGTTCAACTTCGTCACTGATACAGTCATGGAAAACCTACTATCAGCCTTTACTGCCCATGGGGTCGAAGTGCGCTCGGGGCATCCACTTAAAGATATCGAGTACGCAGACGACGTAGCTCTTTTTGGATCTGACGCGGTGTGATGCAAAGAATATTAAATAATCTGAATAATTCCACGTCACGGTTCGGCATGCGCTTCGCACCTGAAAAGTGTTAGGTGCTACTGCAAGACTGAGTGGCCTCGGAACCTAATCTCGTGCTTGCAGATGACCCGATTAAGGTAGTAGACAAATTTGTTTACCCGGGCAACTGTATCGGTTCCGTTGGTCTCGCGAAATATGATATTTCCATCCGAATTGGGAAGGCCAGAGCTGCTTTTGCAAACCTGCGTCACCTGTGACTTAGGCGTGAAATTAGCTCAACCGTCAAGAATCGAGTTTACAATGCTGCGGTGCGCTCCATATTACTATACGAACGCGCCGAAGACGTCAAAAGACTTTCAGTGTTTGAACTGAGTGTGTCTTCGGAGCATTGCTTGATTCTGGTGGGAACACCGGATAAGCAATACTGGAGTACGTCAACTAGTATTCGGAAGAAATAACTCACCCTCGATAGATGAACTTATCGCACTGCATAGGTTGCGCTGGCTTGGCCACGTACTGCGTATGCCAGTCGACCACTTTCCTCGAAGGGTTCTTTTGGCACAACCACATGAACGGTGAAAACGACCCAGAGGCCGTCAAACAATGACTTGGAATTGAAGTATGAAAGCCATTACCAGCAAACTCAGCTATGTTAGTCATTGCCGTCTTCCTGGATGGGAACCCCGAGACAGACCCCACCAATGGTTAGAGACATTGTCAGACATGGTCCAGTCGCGCTCTCAATGACGCCCGTTCATCCAAGCTATTGCCTTCAATGCGTAGTTCCCTTCCCAATTCCCTCTCCTGACAGTCCACTGACAGTGTTGTATTTACGCACCAATTTATCAGCTCCCGCCTTCAATGTGCAGTTGCCTAATCCACCTCTCCAGATCATCGTTGAACGAAACATTGGCAGCTACAACAACTGTACGACAAATACGCGGTTCATACAGCTGATAATGGTGATGAAGATGACTCTGGCGATAAGGGCCAAGTACTGAGCTAACACGACAGTCATCCAAACTGTCACAGAACTGATCGAGACACATTGCAACATCATGCAGTATATGACGAAGCAGAGGAACACATGCAAACTCTTTCAAAGTAGTGGATGTCCTCAGGAAATCTTGCCCGACTAAAGGGCAGGCGAAAGAATCAAGTTTCCACCGGCTCGTATGACCATGAAGCTCTGCTGAGGAACGTGACCAGTTTTCACTCATATCCTTGCATAAAGCCGAGGAAGGACGCCAGTTCAACGGAACGTTCGTGTACTATCGTGAAAACAATGAAAGGACTTGAATTTACAAAACCCCCGTACTCCAGCGAAAAAGAGACTTACTGACCTCGGTCCGGTTTACATAAGTAAAAGTTGAAAGCTGCGCACGAAACTACAGAAGAAGCCTATAGCATCGACAGGGTAACACAAATCCGACGACGGACCGGAAGAAAGAATGAAAATACTAAACGATGAGAACACATCGTTATGTAATCGGGTGCAAGGAAATAGACTATTTTAAAAAACCATATCAAACAGGAAGACGCAACTAACAAATCAAATACGACTGAAAGGGGACCAGTCCAGGCAAAGAAAAGGACCTAATAGAACAGGAGGTACCAGGTGATCCCATCAAATTGAGGGTGGCAGACCATAACAAACCATGAACGAATTAATCAGAATAAGGCCCGGTGTTATTGGAAACGAGGATTCCATCGGGCCGGTCGAATGAAGGTCATATAAACCACATTATGTGATTTTACTAGAAATTTATCTTCCAATTAGCCTATCATATTAAAAAGTATCGGATGCCCTTTAATTCCCCTATAAACAGGAACAGTTAAGTGGAGAGTGCCCACTCGACTGCACAGTGATGATATTTAGGTTGGTGACGAAGCGTATACAGACTATTTTCCAGTCTTGGCGAACTGATATGTATCGGAATCGGGTACGATCAACGGCTATACGCGACCTGAGAACGTGCGCACAACTCCCCAGCTATGACGTGAGCCCAACCACTCCTAGCGCAGAGAGAGAAGACCAGACCTTCAGTATATATATATATATATATTTCGAGCGACCTTGGGGAGCGATAAATCAGTTAATGCACACAAAGTATAACTGGCCAATAGGAAAACAGCGTGGTCGAGTAGTTTCACGTTGATCACTGCTGGCTTGCAGTTAAGCCTTTTAGCCAAAGGCTTTGACTGGAGACTCCGGTCGTCCTCTTGTCCAGCTTTGGACGCCCTGACAAAAAAGTGTGGCATTTGGTATTTCTCCTTGATGAGCGGTTGTTTAGTGTGTCGGTCTGATCTCCGAAGTCGGTTGTTGGTATTCGCGCCATCAATTCACGCAGAAATTTTCACCCCGCTGGCCAGATTTATCTCTTTCAGTGTGGCGAGGGCTTATGCATTAGAGGACAACTTTTTGGGCAGGGATGCTCTATGTTTTTGTGCTAATCCTCTGTTATTAGTCGTGTGACCACAAGTTGCGGAAATTGGGTGAACATCCTAAGAAAAGCATAGTCCCTCGTGACCAAACGGCGGTACTTTGTCTGCTAGTGGATATCTTGTCTTCCACAGATACCTCTTATTAATTGTTGTGTGCTTCATTTTTATGATCCTAATCGCTTCCCGGTTGTTTAGTCGTTTCGTACTCCCACTGTTTCAGTCAAACGTTTCCGTTCGCTTCTTGTTGTTAAGGTTGTCTACGCTCTTTCTCGATTGCGGGCACTTTTGTCCCTTGCGCCAACTGTGTTCGTCAGTTCGTTGCTTGTTTGCCCTGTGACTGGAGGCTCCGCAAGCGATTCTACCGCGTCCCCTACTATTTATCTGTTTGGAATCAGTTTGGTTGAATTGTTAGCGCGACACCGGCGTGCCCTTGCGGGCGGGAATTTTTACGCTGCGGCAACTCAGGTTGAATTGAACCGGGCCATTCAGACACAACCTACCTTACTGGAGGTGGTAGTCAATCTGTGCATCCTGATCATGTGCAGTCAGCTACCATGTACGGATGAATGTTCAATGTCATCAAGAGACTCGAGTTCTGGTATTTGTGAAAGTCGTTATCGATTTACTGAAAGCGAGTTTCGGGCCAACAAATACGCACAGAAAGCTGCCGCTGAGGTCCTTGAGCTAATTGTAAAGGTATGTTTTTGTACTCAGTCATATTGATTTCAGGTTCTGCGTAATGTACTCCTCGCGACACCACTCACCCGTTTTCCACTTTTCCTTTCATTCCAGGAACTAGTTAATATTTCTAATTACTCAGCATTCGAAGCGCACTTGATTGATTCAACTCAACTGCTTCCTCCTGGCAGACAGGGTTCAAATGCGGGTCAACACAGTAATGGTCGTCTGGAAGATGGGACTTCTGGACTGAAGTTTCCCACTACTGCTGGTCGTCGTCTAATCGATGCTATCTCAATACGCACATGTTTGACCTCAGCCATATTTCATTGTCTCGCTAGTGCGGTTGAAATTGCACATTGGCCAGGCTCACCATCCAACTGGCTATCCAGTTTGAGTTCCACAGAGGCCAGGTAGGGAATTCGTATGCATTCAAGTTTTCATATATTGACTCCAAGGTCATCTCTAATTGCATCCCACCTCAGCGTTTTACACAGTAGTGTCACCCATCAACTACCCGTCTCTAGTGGAACAGAGAAATTTTTTGAAGTGAATATCCTCTTCCCCCCGTCATACAGAGGAGTACCAGCCTGTAGTTGCGTTTTCGCCTGCCACTCTCCCAAAGCTCCTGGGCCGAGTTGCCATCCCGTACTCAAGTTTATGACGTTGGTTCATCAAACAGCCAACAAGGTTTAACTATTAAATTACTTTTATTGTATTGTTGTGCTCTAGTTGTTTTGAGGCATGTATCACAATCTTCTCTTATCATACTCACCACTTTGGTTCACAATAAATAAGAACGAATGCAAAATGAAGTGCACCAAATTGCCGCCACTCACCCGACAGCGAATACTTCAAAAAAGCGAAACAGGTGGTCACTCCTTTCCGAAATACGGGGAGCTTCCAAGGATTGGTACGTAAGATAAATGGTTAGTTCACTCACTCAGGGGGAGGTGAGTTTTCGCTGTACCAGATAACAGTGTTGTCACGTTTCCTTATTCATTTTACTTTACGACAATGTACGAACGCATCATGGTTCCATTCTACAGGGCCTACACTAGAGCGCTCACACTCAGCCGACTGTCATATTTAATTCTCAAAGTTTATCACTCAGTCTCCTACTCATTAGGATGGTCTTTAACCAAAGCTCATTTTACCAATTTTCTTCTTCTGTTACGCTGAAATCATCCATGTTTAGCGCATCAGTCTGCTAGATCTCTTTAAATCTGTTGACTCATTGATTGAAGCTTTGACGTGTTTTAGTCAAGTGTATCCAAATTTTAATCACTTTCCGCTTGTGTATGGCAACACAAAACACGTTCCTAAACGACTTTCTACATGCTTCTTTTCCTCTAGTTCTCTTCCGACGTGCCTCCGGTTACTTCTCATCAATGAGGTGTCTTCTGGTCTACCTGATTCTTTCCACACTGCTTATTTGTGCTCTCTTATCCGACTCACACAAAGTGTTCTTGAACTTAACCCGTGGTCACTGGATCATCATGCTCCTTCATCCGGTTCAAAAACCTCATATCCAAGTACAGTCTGGACTGGTGCTTCCAACTCATGTTCTACGGCACAGGCTGCTCAGAATTATTCTGGCGATCTAGACAGTTCACTTTTATCGAAATTTCGTCCCGACCAATTATTGAAAATCTGGTTAGACGCATTTTCTGGCCTCCCACGATCACTAGTCAACGAACCTTTGTTCAGGACAGCCTGCTTATCCATGCACTGGAATTCGGTCTTTATCCCCAGTCGGAGTTCCTGTCGTGAGGAAGGCGCCCTTTTGTGCGACGTTCTCAGCCTTGCTCTCTCACCCCCGAAAGCATATGCGGGATCGCTTAGCGGACGGGGCCTTTCTTGTCGTCGTGACTTACATCCAGTGTGGTACCAGTTTATATTTGCAACTTTGGCCTCTTGGCATGCGTACACGCCTTATTTACTTCGCGTAACTGTTGAGCAAATTTGCTCCAATCTGTCGGCTCTGACAGACCAGTGCTTTTTGTCCGAATCAGATTACCGACAGTCAAGCGCATAGTGAGTGACTATTCTGTTCGTTGAGCCTAACGTGTAACGTATTTTTCCCCGAGATTGTTGGGTTTACAATGACCATCTAAGGGGTCATTTTGACGCAGAATGGCGCATCTTTCCCTGAAAATTTCATTTATGCGTTGCGCAAGCAAAATTAGCTATTCCCCTTCAGAGCAAACGTCCTTGAGCCCATTACATGGTCTGATGAATTTGGTCTGTGTAGGTGCCATCTTGTAATTGGCCTAAAATCTAGAACCTATCATCGGCTTCTGTTCTAGGATACATCGAGTGGGCGTAGTCCTTCAGATATCAGTCAGTCTTTTATTTATTGGCTTTTGGTCAGTCGTAAGCACTTATAATTGTATCTGCAGTCATTTGCTCCAATAGTTAGCTAATTTTCTATTTCACACCTGTTTTATTTGACAAAACATATCGAGTGCAAACATTCGCACTGGGTGGCATTGATTGCTGCCACTTTTTTAGATCTACGACTGTCGTTTCTGAGTTGTCATATGTGAACATGACTTGTACGGTACTGCATAGGTTTCCTGGTTGTTGTTATAACCACAGTGCGCATGTGACACTACTAAAATGCCGATGTTCGATACCCCCGCATTTCACCTGCTGATTAGGTCTTGATTTCAGCTGCTCGATCAGTGTAGCCCCTGATGGTGATAAGGGTTCATACAAGCAGAACAAGCTACAATTGTTCAGTTGGTGCTCAGTTTTCAGTGAAAATCACTGTCCTGTTAGCTGAAACTAGTCCACATGCTCGCCACATTCGCCGTTCTTCACAGGCCTTCTATTCATTGTTCTGCCCGTTTTCTCAGCCGAAGACGAACTATACCCATTTACAAACCAATTTGTTTTGACGGGCTATACCCATTTACACACCAATTTGGTTTTGACGGGAGACTCATCTGGAACCTAGCTGAGTCTCTCGTTTATGATGTTACTTAAAAACGTCGTCGCTTTTGCTATCTTTATCCGACTGAAGCTCTGTGCACCAAGTTCAAGGCTCATAATTCCTGCCTCTTCCACAGAGCATACACTCTTCTAAACTTATGTGCTTCCCAGGAACAATGGATCAAGTTCGATTGATATCCAGTCCTAATCTGTATGAGAGGCTGGCTATTTTCTCCTTGTTCCGCAGCATTTGCCTTAGTGATGGATTAAGTAAGGGGTTAAATGAAGACGCCTTGTTTTTTTCCACCCAGCCAGAATTTTTCTCTACTAGGGAGTTTCACCTTTTTCTCTTCTGTGTTAATTGGTATTAATTTATTGTACTCATTTAACCCGTTGACTTTTCCGCTTTCAACTTTCACGCAGCCACTCAAAAGAGCACCTCTCCTTGCCAGGAGACTACACTTTAGCTTCACTGGCATGTCTTCAAGGGATTTATTCTGCACTGTTATTACCCGGTGGTAGTACTACTTCCGCAGCTTGGTTCCGAAAAATTTCTCATCAACCTTCTGTGACCGTTTCCGGTCCTACAGCTTCCCAACTTGCTGGATTCCCGGATTCGATAGCAAAATCAGCCGAGCTTGCTGAAACACTTGCTGAGCTAACCAGGAATGATGCGAATATTATCAGTACTACCACTAGGGGACTATCTGCCGCAGACCCGGGCATCAGTTCAGTTGCGCGATATGATCCACTTTTCCCGTCTCCACTCGCATCCGGTGGTGGTGCACAGACGACTGCATCGCCTTCGTCGTCATCTCAAGGTCTTACCTCTGAACCGTCCGTCATTTTGACACCCTCTGTGGCTGAGAATGGGATGGAATCAAAAACAAATGTGCAGCATTTTGCGGCGATTTTCACTAGTAGGACAAAAGTGAGTCGGTATCTAATAAGCCACTTTCCCCGTATGTTTCTTTACTTATCTGTCGCTAGCCATCAGTCTGATCTACTTTCTTCATTTGTAAGTTTACCTTCGTCGCCTTACTGACCCGAGAGCAGCACGGGGGATTCCGGCCTGGTAGGGGTTGCATTGACCAAATTTTCACACTCCGTCAGGTGATAGAACGACTTCATACGTATAAGCGACCCACAATTCCAGTATTCCTGGATTTCCGAGACGCATTGGACTCGGTTGATCGGTCTGTTCTTCTTGACACGCTTACTCACCAAGGAATTCCCCGGAAGTCTGTAAACATAATACGTCCTTTGTATTCTCAGATTTCCGGACGTGTGAAAGTGCACGGAGTGCCCTCCAAAAGCTTCCGTACACAAAGCGGTTTCCGTCAGGGATCCCCACTCTCTCCGTTCCTTTTTAACTTTGTGATCGATGGAATAATGAGGCGAACGCTAGAGGGTCTCCAAAATCCTGGTGTTCAAATAACCTGTGAAGAAAACCTCCTCTTCTTCGAAGAGCAGAAGGCGCAGTCGTTTTTGGATGAACTGACCAAGGTCATCCCGTCCTTTCGTATGCACTCTGCACCTACAAAGTGTAAGGTCATGCTCGTGGACATGCAGCCACTAAACATGCCACTTATAATCCAGGGAGAGGTACTGGAAATTGTGGAGCGTTTTACGTATCTTGGAAGTTGTACCAGTTCTGATTGTAGTGCGACAGATCAGGTCAGTGCACGAATTTGCAGGGCTCGGGGCGCGTTCGGTGATTTAGGACAAAGTGGTTTATCCCTGAGTCTCAAGGGGCTTGTATCAAGCTACAGTGCGGGCTTTTTCGTTGTATGGCTGTGAGATTTGACCTAATCGAGCAGCGGAACTGAGCCGTCTTCAGGTGTTCGACAATCCCTGTCCCAGAACCATAGCTCGTGTGGGTTGGTGTTGGCGAATCCGTAACGAGGCAGTTAGAAAGCGCATTTTAGGTTGTGCAATGGCTACCTCCATTGAGGAATGTATCCAGTACCAAAAGCTGCTTTGGTTGGGACATGTGTTGAGTATGCCTAACCGTCGTTTGCCGAAGAAAATACTGTTTTCCATGCCCAATTCAGAGTGGTGGAAACAGAGAGGTGGCCAACTCTTGACTTGGCAGAGGGGTATGAGAGAAATCACGCAACGTTTGGGTGCTGTCGGTGCTACTCGCCTTCCAGGATGGGGCCCGCGTGATCCGCCTGGTTGGAGATACTACAAGATATGGCTTCCAACCGATGTCAGTGACGTTCTTGTTGTCAGTTTCTATCCAGATTGCCTGAGTGAATGTCTGAAGGTGTAAACACCTCGGAATCATTGTGTTAAGCTAGCACTAAGTCCCTTCCGCGTCCACTTTATTCTTTTCTTTACAATAAAGCTTTCAAATGAATCATGGATGTACGGTAGTGAAGCATCGGTGTTGAACACTGATGTCATGCTGTCGATGATGGTGAACCTAACAATATTAATACAGGCTACCAGAGGATGGCTTGGTGCAGACCTTATCCGCCTTCTTGTTTTGATTAAATTTTGAAAGAGAACCATTTCAGCTTCATTCTGCGTATGGCTAACTCTAGCTATTCTTTTAAGGTAACTGGGATTTTTCGGGGAAAAAACAATACACCATCGAAGCTATCGACGGTCGACCGTTTTCCAATCATCCTGGTGGCTTAGCTATGTTCGGGCCATGGTCTACCGAAGCAGGTGCTGTCTCCCATGTCCAGTTCTGGGGCATAGGGGAGAGGGTTATACAACCTCTGACCTGACAGAAAGATATGAGGACGTTTACAGATTATCTAGCTACTGGTGCTGCCGCCCGCCTTGGATCATGTCCATTGGACCATTCCACTTTTTGAATGGAGACTACTAAGACACTCTTGTTTCCGCTTTCCATTTAGATTTTCTGAATGGGTGTCTAGATGTGTACGCACAACAACGTTGTTGTTCTATACTGATACTGGTCTCTCTTCTCTTTTTCGTTCGTTTTTCGTTACAAGGTCTTCTTCAAGTGCATTATGAATATCCAGCCCTGTTTTAACGACATCGAACGTGGTGATGATTACGTCGTAGCCATAGTTCATAGTTGATGATAAACTCGAGAACCAGATGACGCCCAAACTTGGGTTTCTAATATGTGTGTTAAGGGAAGTTGGGGAAGTTGGGGCTAGATGGCCCAAGTGGTTAGAGCGCGAATTTACTGACCGGAAGGTCCGTGATTCCAACCCGACCTCCGCCGCTCGACTTTCCCTATCTAGGCTTGGGCGACCTGGCAGTATCCCAACCCTCGTGGAACCTTCGGATGGCATGACAGTTAGGCACCGAAAGAGTTCTACAGTTGAAAGATTTTAAAGGGAAGTTCAAATCTGTATTCTGGAACCTAATGGTCACCTGTGCATCCACATCAAATCGAGCAAAAGTACGGGAATGCTTGTTAAACTATGAGAGATGAGCTCGCCCGAAAACAGTTTACAATGTATGAACTTGCCCAAGTTCGATATATTCGGAAAGAATAATGAACTATTGTGCAACTATCTGATTTATACTGCACGGGAACTCCCGGTGGTTGACCATCAATGTATCCGAAGCGTCTGCCCGATAGGGTAGGAACATCATCCGGAATAATAAGGTTCGCCTGATGGTTTTTGGAAGGAGGAACTTTTCCGTAATAGACAAGTTAAGCACAGGTCATAGATTACGCTGCTTATGACATGTGTTTTGTATGTCTGCGCCATTCAGCCCGTGCAGCTTTTTCCCCCAGCCATTTTGAACTGGGCGTTTCCCACTCTGCTGCATGTTACACTGTTTTCTAGAAAGGTGGTCCTTGCCTCGGAAAATACACTCATTTGCATATCAATTTGGTTTTCACAGAACACTCAATTGAACTCTCGTTTACTGCGCCATTCAGCCCGTGCAGCTTTTTCCCCCAGCCATTTTGAACTGGGCGTTTCCCACTCTGCTGCATGTTACACTGTTTTCTAGAAAGGTGGTCCTTGCCTCGGAAAATACACTCATTTGCATATCAATTTGGTTTTCACAGAACACTCAATTGAATCTCTCGTTTATGATGTTCTTCTGCACAGAGGCTGCCTCATGTTTCAGTTGGTATGATACTCGAGATATCGCAATATATTTTCACTAAGGGAAGCTGCTCACAAGGCTGCTAAAAATTCTTCAACAACGCACGGCTGATTTAGCTTTCCTTGGGGCTCATCAAGTAGACGCACTCCTTGAGTTTCCGTCAATCTTATGTTCCACTTGAACCCAAATTGGACTGATTTTGACAAATACACTCATTTGCCTATCGATCTGGTTTTTATGGGATACTCAATTGAATCTCTCGTTTATGACAACAGTAATAGTGCGACTGTACTGTTTTAGTCGCCATATATTTTCAATCTAGAATCACTGTGAAATATTCATTTTCTAATCTCCTGGGTTGGTACCGTATCCAGGCATCATCTATTTGCTGACAGTGTTTCAGCACAGCGGAAATGCGTCCCCTCCACATCGACCGTCCCTCTTTATTGTTCTCTTGTGGTCAGGGTCGCCAAACTGCCGTTGACTTTTTCCGTTGGAAAATCATGCTTCTGTGTTCTCCTGTAAAAGCAAAAAATGAGCGCACGTTTTACATTTTAATAGCCTCTAATTAACGGTTCCATGCCAATACCTCTCCGGAGCCACTTTTGTCGAACAGTCTCTTTGAAAATCGATGCATGGTCTCGGTATACACGAATAAACTGTCCTCACGCCACACGTATTTTGATGTTCGCCTGAGTCTTGTCTTTCCTTCGTTTTTCCTTCCTGTCTTTTGTAGGATTTATTCGGTCAGAGCAATTTTCCGAACCCGGATGCACACCCATTAATGCAGGCGCAGGTGGAACTGTTTCGTCTACTTCCCTTTGTGCTCACTTCATTGGCTTCAATATGGGAAGCCTTTAACCGACACTCCTCCGGAAATGGGTTTGTTACAGGTAATGTCTAGCAATATGTGAAGGTTTGGCTTCTATGTTACAAGAGAAATGAATCCCTCATTCCTGTAGGTTTTTCCAGTTTTCGCACTCGCACTTGATTTTTCAGCAGTTGGTCTACCAGTAAATGATCAGAATTGCTTTTAATTTCTCACGGTGTTCAAGTAGGACCCAATAATTACCCAACCGTGTGCTCGAAGGTTTGTCAGGTAGGAATTATAAGACACGGGGTCAACCCTGGAAAAAGTAATTTTCTGTACTTTTTATGCTGATTCGGACTCAAGTGGATGCAGCTAGATCCGATCGGTCTATGTTCAGAATCGATGTCCACAGCTTCTACAAATCCTACAACAATTAGTAACTACTCACCGGTGGACACTGGGGCAGACAAGTGCTCGACTTCCGGTGAATCGCTGTAGCGGTGTCTCCTACTAAAAATGGGCCATTGTATAACAAATCAAGCCGACTGTTTCCGAATTTTGCAAGGTGGTCAGGAATAGCACTAGATTCGTGCTTCATGGATGGCTTCAAGTGCTACCCGATTCTCCTAGTTGAACAATGTAACTGGAAGCTTTGACAAGCAACTCTTTTGGGAATAGGTGTTCGGCGATGACTTCCTCAGTAGGTCACACACACACTGTAATGCGGCTTCATGTTCTTCTACCAACTAACACGTTGCCCACCAATTCGAGTGGTTGCTGAGTAGATATTCGAAGATGGCGCTCTTTACAGTGAACGATAGGCCTGCATACATAGCACACGACTGGGTCGTTGGGATTCATGGTTTTAAATGTATTTCTCAACTTACCGTGTGTCTGTGTATGCGTTTCCTAGTTACCTGATTATTACTTCGATAAAATAACCCACATAGGTGGTTGCGTGCCTGGAATTGACTCGGATCCTCCCTTCATAGTGGTCATGACTCTTGACCACACAACCAATTTGTACGTTGCTTTTCAATTCCACCGGATGGGAGATTCTCTCAGTTACTTTATCAAACACTCATTCATTAGAGTCAATGTGACCTTCTTCTAACTTCTACATCGTACAGAGGCTGTTCGCAGACATGTTCAGAGACTTTGTATCCAGAAACATGAAAGAGCACTGATGCGGCTTTCCTGTCAAATGGTGGAATTTTGTATAACTGGTAACATCCTCATCGAACTCTTTTTTCTTCCCCATAACTTTTGTGAAACGATGTTTTTCATTTTGGATTAACTGTGCTGGAAAGACTATGAAAATTATACGGTTCTTTTGGCCATATTTCATCTTTAGACTCATCGCAATCTCTAGAACTTCCGTGGCCTGTAATGCCCGCCGTTCCGATGACCCAGCTACCAGCATTTACAGCGCTGGGTACACCTACCTCCGTCCGGTCAGCCATTTGGATGCTTCTAGAACCAATCGCGCTGCACCATCCTGCTTCATTTCTAATCACAATCGCTCTTGCTTGGCCCCCGAACCTTGTGTATTCTCACTCGGGTACAACTGCTGGGTCAAATTGTGGTGGAATTCTAAGCCTGCTCACACCTTCGTATTCGGATGTTCCGAATGCGAATGAAGAACCCAGTAGGTAGTATTTCATCTTGATTGTTTTCTCCAACTAATCCTGGGCTTTAGAAGTTTCAGAGATGTGCTGCCCAATTATGGTGACACAGATGTCTCAACAGTCAGCACCAAAGAGGGGCTACCGCCTCATGCCTTCAGTTCAGTCAGTTGCGTGTGTGTGCTTCCTGCTAATATGGTGTTTAAGGGGTACCACCTCACACGGAACCGTATGCATCTGTATTATTGCTTGGGTCACAGCAGAAAATAGGATGCGATGAAGAGGGGATCAACAGGTAAGAAACACGTACTCTACAATGGCTGAAATCGCTTCCGGACAGAACACTTGCGCGACTACCCTTTGACGGATTTTGCTTAACCGTAGGGGAAGAGAGCCTTAAATAGTATTTTCCAATGTTTTTGTGTAGATGAATAAAACACGAGATCCATTTACTAATAGGATCTGAGTGTAATTTGTCTATAACAGTCTCTCAACCAGTGAGAATTCCTCTATGAGGAAATTTCATCTTCGCTCGTTAAGGTGTAATGCGTCAGCTGCATATATTCTGTACTGGTGGAGCACTGATAACACACTTACCCAGTATATCGGATGTCTGATGTCCGAGTCACGACAGGAATGTCCAAAGTGCATATCTAGGGATATGCGCCGCTGGTGAGCTGCAAAAACAGCGAAACTCGCGTCCGTTCCCGTTACTCCCGCGATGACTTACCGGGATAGTTGTGGTAAAACGAAGTTTGTTCAAACAAGAGTGAAACACCTACAGTTTTCACGAATTGCATTACTATTCTTGTTTCGTTTTTCCTGTCTATAGGAAACACCTCTTAAAGTATTCCGACTCTTTCCAAATTAAGCCATCGTGCGCACCGTAGTTACTGATTCGAACTAAACTATATTGTCTACATTCTCTATTGTACTTTGCTTCAGACTACCTTCCTCTGCTCCCAGAACAAGTCAATCTACTGCGACTTTTTTCCGGTTATGTGTTCGATGAACCGCCAATCGGTCTACTCCTACCGGCATCCACATTTATCGACAAACTCCGTGATTTAGTTCGTCAGCCTCTCACAAATGTCGCTTTATTAGCCCACTTGGACCAAGCCAACTCGACTGGGGTGCTAATGGGCTCACAGAACACTGTAGGAAGCTCTGCGAACGGAATCAGCAGCACAAAGAAACAGGTGGGTTAATCACACATTTCATCATATTTTTCTGGTGTTGAACCGTTTACGTTTAGTTACTTTCCCTGCGTGCGCATATGGTCATACTATGCCTTGTTAAAATACCGTGACTGTTTGTCAGAAACTAAAGTCATCATTGAGGCCTGACCGCACAACTTTAATAACTCCTTGGCAGCTGTGAGACATCTTTCCAATATGCTCCGCTCTCCATCTTGGACAGTCCCTTCAACTGAGACTACTTGATTCCACGAGACTTGGCTTGATGGTTGGGAACTATGTTTCGTACGCCCCACAGCCATTCGCCAAGGGAAGCTCTTCCTTCCAGTCTAACATTTTGTTGGTGTAACGTTCTCGGGCGACGGGTAATGACACGACAACGTGAAACAAGAACAACTGCCAAACCGAGCGCCTATTCGCACCTTCCTGGCTAGGTTTGACGTGATTTTCCGTGTCCATGGTCACCACTTGGTAAGTAACCAATCCTGATGGCGAGCATGACCCTACTGTTTAACCGGACTGGACGGCTTCTTCGTTTGGCGGTCTTCGGAGTTGGGACGAACGACCAGGTGTCGAGCTCCGTGATTCTGTTGCCTGCGGTGCGTGGCCGCAGTCAGACCCGTTGAATAAATTAGCAGTTTTGAAGTCTCATAACATCAACAGATGTGTGCACTTACGGAAGAAAGTCTTACCTATTTGCATTTGCGGCTTATCTTGTAGGAAAACATGTTGGGAGTTGCGGCATTTGATGTTTGGTATGTTTAAAAGGAATGATGCAAAGTAAAACCAACCGCGAGAGATTGTTCTCAACTGTGGTGTGAGTATACAAGCACACAAACTGTTGAGTTTGCTGGATGTAGTGTCGGATTCTGGCCACCTTGTCTGATGAGAACGAATGAAGCTTTCTAACTGAGTAACCTTGGCTTGCGTTGACCTTCAACTGCACACTGAAATACTGAGATGATTGGTTGGCAAGCTTTGAACCGGATTCGGGTAGTTATTGGCCTATCGTGTTGTCTTGTAACTTGTGGGCTTGCCGTCGCTTCTTACACCTGTTGCTTGTGCTGCTTTAAGTAGCTGTGTAAGACTTGCTTGCCATCGACACCAACACTGTGGCCTCTTTGGTTGTTGACAGTTCTGGTAAACGAAGGCAATTGACGAACTATACTCATCCGCCGCTTACGTTGGTGTTAACGGGAGACTCATATTCTTCGACCGAATGTGCTTCACAAGAATCACCTCATATTTCAGTTGGCATGCTATCCGAGATATCGCAGTATATTTTCTTGGCAGAATGCACTACCCATAAATTTTCGGTTGAAGTGTTTTGAACTACTTTATGAGCATTGAGTTCTGCCAAGCAACGCAAGTTTGTCCCTGTTTTCTTGTGTTTACTGCTACTTTCGGGTGATTACCCGGTGGTAGTAGACTTTCCTTGTGTTTGCCACTTCTGTCATTTTTGTTGTGCTTGCATCGAGTGGTGGTCAAACCGTGGCCTACGTATTTCCACCGAAGCATCCATCGTGAGCTCAGTCGTTTCGTCATATGCTCCGCGTTGTCGTTCATCAATACCAATGCGGAAATATCGTATTTCTGACCATTACACTTGAATTATATTAGAATACACATTTTAGTGGTGGTGTCCGATTTCGAACTGGCTTTTGGACGTATACTTTTGTAAACCTTGCGTTAAAGTTACGATTTCAGGGGCCTGAGCCGCTGGAGTTCTGCTGGTAATAGTCGAGCGTGGTTGGAAACTAAGACCATCTTGAGTTAACGTTGATTGACCCCACAGCTTCCTCCGTTCATCTTCATATGTTAATCTTGGTCAGTTTGGATTTCGGACGATCTAATTATGCAATGTCAGACCTGTGTATTTGATGTCCTGCACTTAGGCCTTTTCTCCAGCAGGAAAGACTGACCGTATACCGAAGTCGTTCTCCACTTGAGTTGTACAGAATAAATTTGGTATGCTTCTGCTAGTGATCTTTTCCATTACTAACTTGTTCACAGACGACGGATAGCATTGTGTACTTTTTCTACTAGTTCTTTCTCAGAAGAGACCATTTTCGGTCATAACTTACAACAGTGAGCTCAATGTAGGAACTTTTCCATGAATGATAGTTGTACTGGTATTACTTTGTACCACTTACACCGTCTGCTGTTTTTCCTGGTCTGGACTTTGTCCTGTGAGCAGCTTCTTAATGCATGAATCCTTCATCATTACCAGAACCGTGCCGAGCTCCGTGTGCGAATTCAAGTGAATCTGCTCCACTTGTTGTACGCTTGGCTGATTAACGAACCACGGTCAATTACTCCCAACCTGTTACTCATCTTGCTTCGTGATCTTATAAGTATACCGGTGGGTAGCTCGTCTTCGGGTGCCTCTGGAAGCGGTCCCAGTGTTTCATTGCCACCAGCTGCAGTATTTTTACTTGTAAAGTAAGTAGTTTACATCTGTTTTATTTTGTGCTACGCAACTCTGTTAAATTCAGCAGACCTCAGATTCGCTGCCGACCTGCGACAAGTGAAGCTACCAGTGGGTTTTTCTGGATGTCGTATTCGCATGCATTTTGGAGGTACTTACTTAGATAGTCTTATAAGCTGCTGGTTCCAACGATTTTTTGCCACTCTACCTAGTTAGTTCTTGCTCCCACGTTATATATAAGCGCAAAGGACCATTCTGCAACATGCACGCTTCAATCACTGGTCGCTGTAATACCGACATACTATGTATTCCCCCCCCCCCACGAGCTGTTTTTTTCATTTTCCAGTAGAGATTTTGTCCTGTAACTAAAGTCAACTTCTACGGAGAAGCACAGTACATCTTTTTCATCCTTATTGGGAATCGCGGAAGTGCGCATCTCACGTATCTCCAAGTGAATTAGAACTCGTTGGCTCCCGGCTAGTAGCAGGAGCCTAAACTGTTTGACCACGAGTGGCTGATCAGTAGTGCGATTAAATCGCACTTAGACAGGATATAGTACCACGCTCCATCTTTCTGTTGAGAAATTCACACCATATGGTCACATGACGGCTTCTCGGATCGATATTCCCTTTTGGTGTGTGGATTGTTTTTCGGAGCTACCTATAGCTCTTGGTGGTATTAGAGGGGGGGAACCTGTTACCAACACCAGTTAGTCTGTCCAGGCGAAAAGCAGCCTTACTATGAGGTCCATTTAAGTATGTTAGAAGTTATTTGCTGATTACCTTACGTGTCTTAACAGGACTTTACGTTGTAACAATGCCTGAACGGCCGCGACAAATGTCCTCTCGCCCCATCGGAGCACCAAACTCAATGCTTTTGAAGGAATCGATTGCACGGAATCATCAAATGGCGATGGCCGTTGGTTCTTTTAAATGTCAGACACTGTTCTCCGATTTATCATTTCTGAAAAGAGACGACTGTTGGGAACCAATAGGATCGAAGTTACCGAAGTTTTTCTGCCGTTCTTGGAGTTCTATTTCTTGCCTGTCAGTTCAACAGTAAAACCCGCGCAACTGGAATAACTTGGTCTCTTTAGAGTGGTATGGTCATTCAGGAGGAACAAATATGCGGCGACTAGTCTGTTTCAATTGCAGCTCCTCAGGTATCCCGCTAGTTTGTTCATCATATCCTCACCCTTGATGGCTCGGAACCCACTTGAAATCAGTGGATATGCAGATAAAAGAGGCATCTCTATTCATAAAGATGAGTATGATCCATGGCCTTCACCTTATAGTAGGCCCCCATTCTAGCTCTGATCTGGATCGTCGGATTTTCCAGTCTAAGTATTCTTAATCTTGATCGCCCGGGAAACAGCAGGGGGTTCTACCGTCCACCTATCTTAGCATTTGGTACTAACCCGTAACATTTGAAGATGAACTGTTCGGGGACCTAGTCTCACATGTCCGAAAATGCCAAATTATGGTCGGTCATGATATTCTGATAAGTTTCTAGTCTTTACCACTGATATATTATTGTCGACAGTGATGTTGGTGAAGTAGCCGATTCAGAGTCAAAATTTTGCCACGATCGTTGTTTATTATTTTTTGGCCTCTAGGCTTGGGCAACCTGGCACTATCCCCGCCTTCATGCTTCATTCGGGTGACATGACAATTAGGCACCTAAGGAGTGCTACAGCTGAACGATTTATCGTTTGACACATCATTCAGACCTATGCGGCTTTTGTTTAATTGTCCCAGAGCTGGGAACCTTACAGAAAAGATCAGTCCATCAAATCACAGGACTGGATCAAGAACATCCAGGTGAACTGCGACTCTAGAATACCGGGATTGAGTTAGTCTACTAGAATATCAGGTGACCTTGAGTGGCAAGCTACATAGCATTTATCGTTCTCATTTTATGCCAAACGGTCCGCCGTCTCTCTCAATAATATGATTTACGCTGGAATATAATAAGGACTTGTGGTGTGTGCAGACGATGTTCCGAATGTATAGCACGGCAAAATGGAGGGCAGTTTCACCAGATGCCTGCTCTAGGTTTTTCTTTTCGCTTGTTGGGGAAATATATTACAGAATTATATAGGTTTTGCTTATGAACGAAGTCAGATGCTCTTAACAGATCATTAGGATGCACAAACGCACAACTCTTTGAAGCACGTTCCATTCCTCCAATGACGATCCGGATACCCGCAGCTCGGTCTGTCGACAGGGCCTTCACAGTTATTGGGCTAGTAGTAGTAGCTAAAGTATGGCTAGTGAAAAATGTGTGTGTGTGTGTGTCAATTAGGTTGATATCCTTCAGCATGTGTACCCTAAACTGCTTCTGGACCCCTAACCAAAAATGGATTTGAAAATCCCTGGATAACCTAAGGTAATTTCTGGAAGTCGTCTCCAGCGCTGAAACTATACGTTAGGCATAAAACCTAGCTGTGTGCTGACCAAACCCGCTCAGGTTAACTGGGTATGGGCGTTTTTATGGTCGATCACGGTTCATGCAAATGCAAACACATTCCGGATCAGCTTTTACTCCGTTGGCTGGTTGATGTTGCGCGTTTCCTCCATCGTTATCGGATACTTGTCATCGCTTGTCATCTGGCATTCAAGTCGTAGGGCTTTATTGTGACGTTTCTGAGAGTCGGAAACTTATTTCACTCTTATTTTAGTCTGTTTCATCATACACTGTTTGTTGGCTCCACAGTCTCACTTATTGTCACATGTCGTTTCCCTCTTTTCAGAATCTTCAGTGTATTCATACAGCTTAATGGCAGAACAGAAGACCGGCGTGAGCAACGCGAATTGCAGGTAGGTGAAGTGGTTTGACACAAAGTATACTCATCGAGAACTGTTTTCCGTGTGTATGGAGACAAATTGCTAATTCTTTCCTACTTACCCTGTAGTCGGTCAAGTTTTATCCGACTGATACCATTTAATTCCTAACTGCTATCAATATTACCGGGTATTTCAATGCTTTTGCGACTTTTGAAAAGACATCCGGTTATTTTGCCATCAATCAATATTAGTCAGCTACTCTAGCTCAGTGACTCGTCTTTGCATTGAGCCATCTGTTCCGATATCGACCTGTCTAATTGCTCATCGATGTCTTTGCGGAGCATCGATTTACTTAACTTTACTAAGAGTAATTGCAAAATTAAATCTGTTGGTATGATAGTGACCCTCGCTGTGATTTATTGTGGTATTCTGCTTAACCTCGTAAATCCTATCTGCTTCCACTGCCTCCCGTATGTGAAGCTTTTGATAGCTGTTGATCACGCCATGATACACATCGTCGCTCAGTACTACTTGTGTTTTGTTTTCGTAATAGGAGTTGTGCCATAGAATACTGGAGTCCACTACGGCCGTTGCTGCGTCTTCTCTAGAGCAACCTTCTTGGTTCCGCCGGACTTTGCAAGTTCGACAACCAGATGCGCGTGGCTCCTCGAGTCCCGTACCACCACCACCACCACCACCGTCCGTACCCGCAACTAGTGAAAACGACCTAATGAACATGAACCATAGCTCCAGTTCATCAACCGAACGTGCTAATCTTTGTAATTCCCGGTCAGCTACCAACCTGGTTACAACCGAGTGCGATTCACCAGCAGCGAATCCCCGTTTTTCGAGAATCGACACTGGAGTAGAATATAAAACTGAGAGAGCTCCATGTATGGCAGATTCTTCCACTAAGTCATTCTATTAATTCGTTCAGATCATCAATTGTTAATTGTTACTAGTGAAGGATGGTCTTTTGTTAATCTATGGTTTGACCGACTATAAACCGTGTACTAATGTGTGTATCTTACCATGTAATTCGCGGACGACCAGGGAACTTGAAGTAAAAGCATGTATTCGAGCTGATAGAATGCACTAGTTAGTCGTTCAAATTGTTGATGAAGGGCGTTCATGTGAAGACACAGACGTGTGCATGTTCTGGTTCTGAACTGAGGGTTATTCTACTGTCTCCGCTTGGCATGTGCGGTGGCTTCGCCATGTCTGATTTCGTTGACAATCCTGGTGTTTCCTGTCCCAGGAGCCGAGTCCCTCAAATGCGAGATCTGCTGACCGGGCTAGGTTTGCTTGCTCCCATTTTTCGCCTTACTTCTCAATTTCTTCGGATCGTTCCTTTCTGTGACGATTACCTATTATGGTGAAAAATGCCCTGGACAATGTAAACCTTGAAGTTCTCTAACCTTTCTGTCATTGACGGATTTCTCCACGGCGCTCTGGTCGTCCAAATAGATCTACCCTATTTTTTTAAAATAGCATCGGCATACTTTAAGTTGCATAAAAGTAGTTTGTGCTTTCACTGGATGCGACCCTCATATATGTCAGCGGCCAATTTAGGAGAATACGGACTTTACTGATAGACAAGAAATCCCCCTTCGTATGAAGAAACGGTGCGGAGAAGCATAGCTGGTCCTTCCGCATCCACAGTAGTTTATGTACTATGTCTTCAGAATAGTGAAAATATGGATGAATTTAGAATGCTTTTAGAATGCCCAAGAACGGAACTGCGATGCTTTGCTCTGTTTAGTCAAAGGTAGTCTGGCAATATGTCTAAATATTAGTAGCTCGGTTGGGATTATTGGCTGTTGATCAGGTGACAGTTGATCTGCTCTCGGAGCTTAGCGATTAGCTTGCAAACGTTTCGTGGCCATGCGAAGAGTCTTCGTAAGTGCGCTAAACTTAACGTTTGCAGTGAACAGATCAACTGTCCTCAACAGCTGACCAAAGGTAGTCCATACATAGAAGCAAGCGGTTTCATCGATAGGTGTTAAACCTACCGAACGGCAAAATGTGTTTTGGGTCTGCTCACCCAGACTAAAACTAGAATAGCATTTGGGCCCTATCGCATGGTCTTATTCCACAATAGTATCATGATCCTAGTTCGCCCGAAGTGTCACTCGTATTGCAATATCATGATTCATTCGTAGCTTCTTCAACAACGCTGATGAACGAAGGTGTTCAATCCAAAGTTGATGGAGACCTAGCGGTCCAAGCTATGGAACTTTTAGCAGAGGTGAGTTGTTCCTTCTAGTTATTGGCAATACGTTTGTTGCAATATTCTCTGCCAAAACCAGTTACGGCTTTCTTGCAGCTGTACAATCAATTGCCGTTTTTCACCTTTCTACGATGTTTTCCCCGTCATTACTCACTTTTTGAAATTTTTTGCTACGAATGCCTTTCTCCACGTTGAGTTTGGTCGTTCTAACATATAGAACGACCGACTTTTTGGGTGTTCAGCTACGGCATCTGACTAGACACTATCTGGACTTGTGGACTATACTCTTGGAAAATGCACGTACTCTGATCATTACACAGACTTCGTGTTCACACACCTTCATCAATATCACGTACTGTACAACACGGATTGTCGCCAGCATGTGACCGCACCTGCCCACTGATCCGATGCAATTAAGTTAACATAAGCATGGGTAGCGGAAATGAAGGAACTGCTTTGCATTAGAAAAATCCAAAGCCTATCAAGCTGCACGGCCTTGTAATCGTAGGCTAGGGTGCCTGTCTTTGTTGAGGCAGCACACCCGAACAAGACGTCCTACTTCAGTAATCCCTGAACACGAGAAACTCCTATCTGATTTTAGAAAGTCAACAGTCGGACGACATTTTTCGGCACATTTGGTTTAGGTTCTAATCAAAGTATTGAGCAAATCGGCATGGTTCTTCTCCCACTGGCGTGTCGGATAGCTCTACTCGATACCAATTATTTATATCGCGGATATTCCGCAATCGTGGTAGTCACTCTTAAATTAATGGCATCTTTTGTAGGGTAAGTTTTGTGGCTATCATACAGATGGAGCATCAGCTGGGTGTGCATTGTACGTTTGTAGAAAGAACTGGAAGTAGGAGAATAAGATCTACAGTATTTGTATTTCATCAGTTATTGACCTTGAAAACATCTCTTACTCCACGGAGAAAGATGGGGTTTCAACTTTCCCTGCTTTTCAAGCAGCTGTGGTTGGAAATCACCTTGTGGTCCATTTTATACAACCATTTCATAACTTTCAGAAGGATGAATGGCAGTGCTTTTTCGAACTTAGACAGCAAAATTGTCGTTTTGCTTTCATTTTTCCTCTTATCTGATATCTTCAAACTGAGTGGAGTCATGCTCTGGCAGCAACCTGGATTGCGTGAGTAATCTTGTAATAAAACAACCACTGTAGTTGAGCCTATTTCCTACCTGCTACTTAGTGTTATTCCACCCAGTTAGCGCTGCCTGTGATGTATCAAAGGAGGGTTTACGGGACACAATGGGTTGAAAACCACCTTGCCAGATATTACTTAGGTCGATTGTTGCCTTCGATGCACTTTTCTTGCGGCGTTGTTTTTGCCTGTTTGGATGCAAATAATCTAATAATCATATTTTCTTTTTTTGCGCAGCACATGGCCAGTTTATTGGATTTCGTCTACAAAAGTGACGAGAAAGATCGCATCCCAGCTTTCTTAGCTAGCATCTTATCCAGCATTTTTCCTTACCTCCGTGTCCGAATGTAAGTTGAGTTCGTTCTTTGAAGAGGCACTCTCTAGTAGGACATAGTCCTGCCGTTTTTTGGCTTCATTCCTTTTTTTAATGCGGGCAGGGTGCATGGTTGTAGAAATTGTCTGCACACAGTTCGCTTTATCTTCCTCGTGCACGAAGTGTGCTTCCTTACAGAGAACTTCCTAGACAGTTGGCAATAAATCCCCGAAAGATTGCAGTAGCGTAATGTTATACCAGTGGCTTTTCTCTGAAACAGACGGCTCCCGGGCTTCGTCAGCTTTTTTACCCGGCGTTACGGGCTGTCTATTTTCACTCATCTCCTTTCCGCGCGATGTTCATCATGCGGTATCCACCTTCCAAGCCAGAAATAATCGTTCTTTTCCAAGACATTCGCTCCTCGTGTGCAACTTTTTGGGGCTGCATGCGCAATATGCTTTTACGTGGCGTGTGATGGTATGTGAGCCTTGCGCTATTAAATCTTCTCGGTGGAAGAAGGGTAAATAACGAAATATGTTTTATTTTATCGGTATCCCACTCACTCATCTGACACCTCTGTCGTTCTACGGGACTCTCATGACAATGTAATTCGTTCACCATTCTAAGTTCACCTAAAATGTCATCCCTAGTTTTGACTGTACAGACCGAACTTCAGACCATATTGTTACTCAATCATTTCCCCGGTTAGTTCACGTAATACCAAGCTTTCGAGTTCTGGTGGTGGTTCTGCCAAAATGGAACAATATCTGGTTGGTTTAAAGAAAACTCCAGCCAAGCGAAGAGTGCTGTATTGGCGCACATTTGTGGTTCATTTTTATTATCTGCATTATTTGAACAAATCTCCTTTACCTAGAATCAACGGGTTTTCTATCGAATGTTTATAACCTCCCCTTCATATGACTAATTAGCGTCAATGGTTCCACATTGAAACAGTTTACGATCTTATAGTTTACTAGATTCATGAGATTGCAGCGTACGTTCACCTTCCTTGCTTTTACCCTCTGTCTCGTCATTCCCCCATTCCAGGCCCAGTAACTCGCAACACTTCACGGCGGCAAGTAAGCTACTGGCTTCTGTCAGCAGCTTCCAGTACACGCGCAGAGCTTGGCGACGTGAGGTGCTAGATTTGTTTTTCGAACCGGTTTTCTTCCAAATGAATGCATTCGCCCTCCAAAGTTGGAATCTAATCATCGACAATTTAATGACACAAGATAAGAGCACTTTCAAGGAGGTCCTAAGTACGTCTGTTTTACAATACTGACAGCATTTTCGCATTGCGTAACTATCAATTTGCACAGTCTCACACCTTCTTCAAGTCACATTATAGTGCCGCGCTCTTGAAATTCTCGTTTGGAAGGGAACTAATGGAACTTGCTAGTATTTAGAAAAATATTCTGAGTCACTTGAAAAACACAGGAAAAATGACTCATCGGTATCTGGTGGTGTCCTGAGCAAACGTTTACTTTACTTCTGATCTTTCTTCCAGGCACAATTATGGCCTTCAGCGGCAAATATTTTTTGCCGCCGTGTTGGTAATTCTATTTAATGATTAGGCCCGTATAGTTGAAGCATACTTAGGTTGAGATAATCGCCTAAAACTAGTCCACTATTGCCACGCAGGGGAACTTAGAAACGAGCGGTGTACAACAACCTGGTGTTTAAGTAATTTTGACAGTTCATATCTACTGAAGAGCATTAGTATGCTTTTTTGCCGCAAGGCACCATCTGCCTTTGCCTTGTATAGGTTGTCTAAAGTAATGTGGAAACAAGACTGCGTTCGAGGAAGCTCAGGGTAGTCAAGCATTGTACCTCTCGTCAAAGAAACATAACAGAAGTGACTACGATAATCGTGACGTACAAGACGTACATTATTCTCCTTCCCCAAGGCGCAATTCCTACAACATGAGACGGAATTCCGACCAGGTATGGAATGCATAGATCACATCTTTATATTGTCCTGTATTTTGAAGAGCGTATCATACCGCCGACCAATTTCGGTGGTTTTCCTTGACTTCAATGAAGTCTTCCTCCATTCAGCGGGTAGATAGTGAGCCATACAGAAGTCATCCTATTGCTGTTGAGGTTCGCTAGAGTTATCTTCTCCTCTCTCTGTTTTGTGTTGTTGCCGACATCAATTTGGCGTGCACTCTCTATGGAGATATGAATTTAAGTACCGAAATCACATCCAGAAAAGAATTAGTGTAGTGCGTTTTGGTTTGTTGATAGGTTTACTTAGGTGAGCAGCTGCTTATGCCGTCGTTGTACCATGACAAATGAAGTCAATGCGCACATCATCAAGGTGCAGGCATCACTCTATAAAATGCATCATCTCGGGCTTTGGAAGCGAATTTCGTTGAAGCTAAGGGATCTTGTCTACAAAACGACCATCGGAGCAGTCTTACTTTATAAATGTGGGACCTGGTCTTCTCTGTTCCATGTCTTCAAAGATTTAATTGCCTATCTCTACATAGCACACTAGGTATTAGCTGGCTCGAGTCAGCTTGTGATTGATTCGTGTGTAATCGAGTAATAGGTGATGAGTCGGATTCGCAGGAGCTTGTCGAGTTATTGTGTTTGGGTTATGTACGACGTAACCCCCGACCGCTCCCTACCGATAAAGTTCGGGTTTTCTCAATTCAAACCTTTGTTGGCCAGAGACTCGCAAGACAAGCCATGGCGTTAGAAAGTGAAACTGTCAATTTTCTCACCTTTCTGGATAGGATCCAGATGATCCTACCCGCGCGCGTTTGGAAACCCTACGCGACGCAGTACACAGAGATCCTGATGGCGAGCCGGATTGCTTGGGTAAAGTCCACTTGTCCTTATATGCTGGGGTCGTGTTTGACGAGGTTTTCAAATGATACTGGGGCGATCCTCGCTGGGACGTCTTGCTTTAACATCATGTTTTGATGCTTTGGAAGGGCATATTTATGGTCGTTCTTAGGAGCCTAGGGTTTTTCAGTGGGTCTACCCATTCACTTTCTTTTCACTCTCTTCGAAGGTCTTCCACCTCCGTGTTTGCATGACAGCTAGGCATCAGTTTTCCGTTGCTGGCATACTGTTGTCCTTGATGATGACACTTCACTATAGGTTCCTTCAAAGCATGTAGTAGTCTTTTGTGTGAGCAAAGAAACTGGCAAACCGACATGGCACTCTGAACTGTTAAATTCCAAATGGCTCCTATATTTTGGTCGATTGTTGGGTCGATCGCTGCTACTGAATGGTAAGGTGTGGTTCCTTTCTGATTTCTTTTCCAAAGCGTGTCGAAGCCAATTCTCAGTCCCACACAGGACATTCGTTGTTGTCCATTGTTTTCAGGTTAAACTTTCTAACTTACCACCAAATAAAAAATTGGAAAATGACGGTTTTCAGGCTGCCATTCGTTTGGTTATCGATTCGCTCCCGTGACCCTGATCGCATGTCTGATGGCCGACCAAATGCACGTGTTGTGACTGGTATCCTGGATACCCCCATTGTTTTCCGTCTAGCTGTGGAAGACTCGACTAAGTTGGGACCAGGCGGAAACCGCCATCAGCATTGGGTATACTTCCTGATATGGCGATACGTGGTACCCATAGATCTATAGGCCTGTCGTATGGAGCTCAGCTTTTTAGTCACAATCCTTGTAACTCACTTTAGTAGTCCTCGCCTGTTCCCATCTTTTACCTTGTGACAGAACTAGCCAGCTGCTAAGACGCATCATTCTGAGCTGGAGACAGAGTGGATGGTGACAGGCAGTACTACAGCAAGCTGTTTATCCATATATATTGGCGTGTAACCACGGTAACCTGTGTCTTCCCTACCCTGTCTCACTGTGTATGCTATTGTTATTCCAACCAGGCTGCAGCCCGTTCCGGTTTACTTCGGCTATGCATGCATACACGTGCAACATAAATCTGTCTACGTAGATAAATAGTAATAATCGTTCACCCTTTCCGTGTATAATAACCGTGTCACTCGAAAGGCCAATGTACTATCAGGTCGCTAATGCTTAAACAGAAGCAGTAGAGATGCCCGGTTCGGATTCAAACCACAGACCCTTCTATCAGTAGCCTCGAGCTCTACGCTCTGAGTTATTTCGAGCAGCATCTGTATCAACAAACGGATAATTTTTAAAGGGTAGGTTAAGGTGGGCTTGCTAGTCATTATTGAGTTATCTCCACGCTACTCGTAACTTTCTTGTGAGCTTGAGCGGTGTAGTTATTGGACTTCGCGAGAATTTATTTGACAGTTTCTTGTAATTTGCTGCAACTTGCTCTTCCTATGGTTGGCTTAATGCACGCATTGTGAAACAACGGTTTGTTCCCGGGTATCACATGACTATGCTTGGCATATTTTAAGCTATGGGTTTTCCGTTTAAAAGTGGATGCGTGAGTCAGTCCAGTGTTGATGACATTACATTAATAAACCTTAGACCATTATCGTCGTCGTGAGCAAAAACAGCATCGTTGACACTGAGGATACACTGCTGTTCGTCACTAGGCTTATATGCTTTGTAGTGCATCATAAAGTAAACGCCACCTGTATCAAGATTACAATCCGTTCAACACAGCCACCTAATTTTATTCATTGTTTGTATATCGTATTTCCTTTATGTCCCATGCTCTCGCCATCTCTCATCCCCGTCAACAGTGCGTCTCACTTTCTCCCAATCGGGCACATTAAACCTCTTCTCCAATAAAGAAGCTGAGCATGACTTACGGGCAGCTTACTTGAAAAAACTGTCCTACCTTATATACGCCAGTGATGTTGATCAGTACGCCAAGGCGATGCCCGAACTACTAGGTAGGTTTTTACCTTCTTTCCACTCGTGCTCTAATTGTGTAACTCATTGTTTATTTGACTGAATTCCATCAATTTAGTGTGCGTTTTTCGGATGTGCTTTTCAGATATCCATGTAAAATCTTAGATTGATGGGTTTTAAATTCAGTATATTCTCTAATATTTAACCTACTACAATTGGAGCGGGTAATTTTCAGTTATATTCATTAAGGGAAATTGGACACTTTGCGGGCAAAACTTGCTTGTTATCCGTTCATGGTGGATGCGTGAAGCTAGTGTTAACTTGAAATGCGTGCGAAAGCCTGAAATTGTTTCATCGACCGTGCTGGTCTGCCGCGCATCGCCTTGGCCACAGGAATATTGAGGAATCCATCGGCGTTTAGCTTGGAGAACTTCCGAAAAGATGGAAATTTCACTCACAAACCTTTTCGGAACACTCACGTTTCCCTAGCGGATTTTTAAGGGTAAAGATTGTACTCATCTGTCCCGGGAATGAAAAAGCATACCTTTTGTCTATATGATTCTGAGTAATGGACGTCTACTGGTTACCGAAATGTTGGACCATAAAAGGGGCTCTGGACGGTTGTGTTCTTCCATGGGTACTCCCACTCAGGCTTTTGGTCCACTTGAGTGGTTTCTGAACACTTGAATGAAGGTGACTGCTTCAGCATTAAATTCCATGGAATATGCGTTTTTGTCGTTTCCCATGAGTCGGAAGGGCCCATTGTCGAGTGTTGAACCAGCCTCTTTCTATATATTGACCGCGCGTTTCCCACGACCCCATAAGGCGCGGGTCCTCACCGTATTTCTGACGGATTTTCCCTTGGAGAAAGGGACCATCTAGGCTATGTCCATGATAAGCCAGTCAACAACGAGTTGGTGACTATTTTCATTTGTTACCGCCAGCTCAAGCAGTCTGAAAGATGGCGTCTTATATTTATTCCCAGTTTATCCAGTCAATTTCTCTTAATCTTTGAAAGCAGGATAGCTAAGTTGGTCTGCAAAGATTACATACTCACTAACTGGTGAGTGGTTTTGTGCTAGTTCGAACGTGGATTCTTCCCCTTCAAATTTGAGCACATTGGTAGTAAGTAGATTTCAGGTGTCACGCTGTGATTTTTCTGTTACGATGTTCTGTTTTATTTTGAAGGTGAATTTGACGGATAAAACTAATGTGCGATCCGGTGTTTTTTACTTCGCGGTATTTCATCGGCTTGGTATCTGATCTCAGTTTCGACTGTACTTTCTCTCGTCAGTCACATTCAGAATTTACTCTTGCTGTTTTCGTACCTCTTGAGTTTTGGCAATCTCACATGACCTTGTTGTCAAGATTCCAGTTTTTTATTTGAGGCTGATAGATCGCCACCCACCATTGATATGTGTGCACTTGTAGGTGTCAGCTAGCCAGGTATTCACGAGTTTTGCTTGCGCTGCTGATCACATAATTACGTTTGGTTCGCAAAGCATGTTACTTATCCCAGTTTGAGTAGTTC